TACAATAGAGAAGAAAGTGAGGCTGTTAAAAATAAGATGATTGAACAATATAACACCATAAATAGCATACCCAGCTTCAGGGATAAGTTCTGATGAGTGTGAATGGTTTGAATCTTGGACCTTAATAGAGTGAATGTTCACTGATTGAAAGAGATCCTTGTAAGAAGATGGGAATAGAAACAGAGGTTTACCAGAAGAGTTGGGCTTCTTCTTTCTTTTATACCCAACTAAATTTGGATTATGCAGTTCTGATACCTTATTAACTGTAATTCTTTAAAGGACTGGCTTAACCAGTACTGTGTATACCACTAGAAGATCTATCTATGTCAGACTTAACTTACTGATGCTCAACATCATGATCAAATTCTAACCTCAGTTGAAGAATGAAATGAATAATATTGTAGGATCCTCAAAATTCAGTACAAAAAGGTCCAAATATTTCACTTAATATATGAACTCACACAAAAGGATGAAAGACTATACATAGCTTTCCCAGTAAAACATACAGAGATAGTGGGAAAGCTGAGATGAAAACCCAGATTTCCTGACCGTGTAGAGTATTTTTCTTTTTATTTCACTAGTTCTCAGTCTTAGTATCTTTACCTTAGGAAAAAAATAAAGCACAACAAAACAAACTCTTCCTTGACAGAGAAAATATTTTATTGTTATATTTCAGAACATAGCAGAAGAGTTCCTTTTAGAATATTTTAAGGTTTTGAATTGCAGCAATACTGAAGAGCAACCATTCACCAAGCTTCCTAATTTCTGCACCTATACCATCCAGGGTTGATTTATGATGTTGAAGGTCACTGAGAGAGGAGAGAGTGTGAAAATTGTGTCTTGCAGTATCTGGACTTTTTCATCATTGTGGCTTTTTATGTTCTTATTTTTTTTTAAGACATGGAAATAGCACTCTGGTTTTATAGAGCCAATGTTACAACTTAGCATCACCAGAAAAAAGTTTTCTCATTATTTTTATAAAATATAAAATTTGATATAGTCTAAAGTTTCCCTGACAAACCTTTCCATTGACTAATCAGATTACCATCAATTACAGAAAAGTCTCTGAAAAGGAACCTCTGGCCAAGCTGAAGGTTTAAGTAAATATGCTTTGCCTTCTCATACAACCAACAAAGGAAAACAACAAACTGATAAACATAAACAACCAGAATTGACAGAAAATAGTCTGACAACCAAGGAGTTAAAGAAGAAATATTCATCCAGAATGGTAAGAGGGACAGATATGGGAAGCTGGAACTGAGAGGACACACAGCAAGGCAGTGGCTGGTGGATCAGGTGGTCCCACATCCTCAAGTGGATAAACAGGGAGGAACAACTGGGGAGGAAGATAGACTGTGCAATCCAGGGTTCTAGTGCAGGGCAATGAAGCACCAAAACCTCTGGCTATAAAAACCTGTGAGGATTGCAGCGGTGGAATAAACTCCCAGTCTCACACAAGAGTCCATTGAAGGGGCCCATGGGATCCTAGAACATACACAAGAACACCCATGCCAGTAATCAGCACCAGAAGGGCCCTGTTCCCTTGTGAGAAGTGGGGGAAGTGACTGAAAGCAGGGTGAGAGCCGAGCAAGTGACACTGTTTCCTCTGACCCCCTCTCCACATAGAGCACTGCAACACAGTGAAGTGGGTTGCCCCAGGCTGGTGAATACCTAAGGCTCCATCTGTTACAACATAACATGCCAATGTTATGGCAAGACAAACAAATGTGGCCCAAATGAAAGGACAGATCAAAACTTCAGAAAAATACAACTAAGTACTGATGAGATAGCCAACCTATCAAGACACAGAGTTCGAAATATTGGTGATCAGGATGTTCACAGAAATGATAGAGTGTGGATGTAAAATAAAGGAGGAAGTGAAGTCTATAAAAAGTGAAATAAAGAAAAAATATACAGGAAACCAAGAGTGAAGGAAAGGAAACTGGGACTCAAACCAATGGCTTGGAACAGAAGGAAGAAATAAATATTCAACTGGAACAGAATAAAGAAAGAAATAAAAAAAGGAGAGACTTAGAAATCTCCAGAACAAATTTAAATGTTCCAATGTCTAAATCATAGGGCTCACAAAAGAAAAGAGAACAGACGAGATTGGGCGCATTCAGGGTGGTATGATATACACAATGGAATTCTATGGAGCAGAGAGAAAGAAGGAGCTACTACCTTTTGCAACAACATGGATGGAACTGGAAAGCATTATGCTGAGTGAAATAGGCCAGGTGCTGAAAGACAAATACCATATGATCTCACCTTTAACAGGAAGCTAAGCAACAAAACAAACAAGCAAGCAGAAAAAAAAAGAAAAACCAAAGACACTGAAATAGAGAACAAGGGGACAGTGACCAGAGGGGAGAGAAAAGGGAAGTTAAGGGGAAAAAGGGGGAGGGATTTGGAGGAACAAATAGGAAGGACACAGGGATGAGAACTAAGAGGGGTGGAAATGGGAGTGAGGTGGGGAGCAAGGGGCGGGGGAGGCTGGGATGGGAGAAATAGACAAAAAAACTGTACTTGAAAAATAACTAAATAAAATTTAAAAAAAAAAGAAAAAGAGAAAGAAATGGAAAACTTATCTGAAAAAACAACAAAGGACAACTTCCCCATCTGGTGAAGGAAATAAACATGTACATCCAAGAAGCTCAGATAGTCCCAAGTTGTACCCAAGGAGGAACACACCAAGATACATTATAAGTTATCAAAGATTAAAGATAAGGAGACAATCTTAAAAGCAGCAAGAGAAAAGAAGACAGTTACTTAAAAAGGAATTCTCATAATACTATCAGATGATTTCTCAGAAAAAATCTTACAGGCAAAAAGAGCTGGAAATAAATATTTGAAGCCATGGCATGCCAGAACCTACATCCAAGACAAAGCTCTATTCAGCAAAGCTCTCATTTAGAATGGAAGGGCAAATAAAGTGCTTCCCAGATAAGATTAAGTTAAAGGAGTTGTTCATCACCAAGCCATTATTAACAAAATGTTAAAGGGACTTATCTAAGACATTGAAGAAGATAAAAAATATTAACAGTAAAATGACAATGAACTTACAGCTATCAACAACTGAACCTAAAAAACAAAAACGAATTAAGCAAACAACTAGAAGAAGAACAGAATCACAGAAATGAAAAATCCCATGAAGGGTTATCAGCAGGAAGGGGGAGAATAGGGGCAAAGATATAGAGAATAAGAAACATAAATGGTAGGTACACAATAGACAGGGGGAGGTTAAGAATAGTATAAGAAATGGAGAAGCCAAAAAACTTATATGCACTTCCCATGGACATGAACTAAAGGGAGGGCGAAGGCTGGAGAGAGGGGGGTGCAGTGTGGGGCAGATAAAGGTGAGAAAAAATGGGACAGCTGTAATAGCATAATCAATAAAGTATACTTTTAAAAAGGAAATTCCCTAATAAGTTCTAAGGCATCTAATTTTTCAATCTTGAATGAGTCATGTTTCATTTGTGATTCATGCTCTATGATTTTTATGCATCTTATATTGTTATTTCAAGTCAAGAGACTAAGCTTAAAAACATAATTATAAATGGTTCAAATCTAGACTCATCCTTGTCACTGGTGAGCATTTTTTTTCATATAGTTCTTTGGGAAAAGGAAAAAGACTTTTTATTAACAAAATGAACATGCACTTTAAAATGATAGGCAAAGTTCAGGAATACTTTCAATTTCTAAAACCCAAGGACTATTTCCTATTCATTATTGAATGCATTACACATAGCACACCAGTTTAACCACTAAAAAAACTATTGATAATGAGTGTATTAGCTTTAAGTACACAAAAACAGTTTTTTGAACATGGTACAGTTACTATCTTCATTTTATACAAGAAACTGAGGCTTAATGAGATGAACTAGCTTAACAGAGACATAGTGAAGCTGGGTTTCCAGACAAGGAAGTTTGGCCCCAGGGTCTACAATATGAATCTGCCTTTCAGAATTCTTCATGAAAACATTTGTTAAGGTAAAAACAAAGAGGACTTGGGTCGCCTAGAATTTGTGACCACATTCTTGTGTCTTTTTTCATCTAACAATAAAACTGTAATCCAGCGCTGATTTTAACCTGAGGAAAGAAAAGCAATTACTTTACAGGTGACGCTCTCTCGCTCATGTCAATTCACCACCTAGAGGCCATTTCTACAGCTCATCCTCCCAATGGCTACATGTAGAGAATTCTATCAGGCCTGAAAGAACTTTTGCAGTGCCCCAATTGTCCCCATTGCTAGTTGCTGATCCATCACTCCCTCTTCTTCCAAGACTTGATCTTTCCTTTTGCAAACACACACACACACACACACACACACACACACACACACACACACACCACATTTTCTAGACTACTCTGTATGTCTGGGAGAAAACTTACAAGAATGGGATACTCTTGACAGGATTCTCATTAATTTTTTTCATCTCTGATGAAATTTTTAAGTGGCATCAGGGAAGTCTTAGTTTACATTCAGGTGGAGAATGGAGTGTATTATTGGCAAAAACTTTGAAGTGGCTTGATAAAGTTTAATGAAGAAGTTCTTTGAGATTGGAGCATATGAGTGGTCCTCAGAATGCTCATCCTATGATAGTCACTCTTCATCATGAACAACTTGAGGATGCCCACAAATATAAACCACAAAATTTTCTTTGAAAATCTTGAATATTTTGCATCTCCTTAAATCTGTACTCTATAGTACCTGAGCTATAACTTTTGATGACATAGAGTAGAGAATTACAATACTGTGTAATTTAAAAATAATTTGACATCATTCAATTCCCCAACCTAAATTGAAAAATGTCTTGGTCAGCCCATAATTTTCTGAAAGGCCCAATAAGGTGAAAGGCACCACCCCCAGGAAACTTTTTACAGAGTCACACAGACAAACTAATGCAAAGTTAAAACAGATTTCCACCTGAGAATTCAAGAAATGTACTACCTTGCCCCAAACCGGTAAGAATCCGATTACCACAAGGATGGATAGTTACCCATGGCGAAGAACGGGATTCCCAGCAGCGTGGAGTTGTACTTCCCATCAGTGATGAAGAAGATCCCTGCTGCCGTGACAAGGGAGATGCACACTGTGAGCACCCCCAGGAGGCCCAGGAAGGGCTTGCTGCGCAAACAGTCCTTCATGGAGCTGGAGAGGGTGGCTGTGGTCAAGATCAGCACGAGGCTCACCAGGACCTTGCTCCTGGCCAGGATGCTGGTCTTATGGAAGTCTCTCCAGAGGCTAAAGGATGCTAAAGAGTAGAGCTGGAGGTCCTGGTGCTCCTCCTGGAGCTTCCTCATAAGTTTACAGAACTCATTCTCCCACTTCTCCCCTATGAGGTCCTGGGTGGCAGAGCCATAGGTCTGGAGGTAGTAGGTGATTTGAATGGCTCTGGCTGACTTCACCCGTTGGTCCTTGCTGTTTGGCACTTCCACTACCCCGCCCAGTTGGTGTCCAATAAAACTGTTCCTCCCATCCTTGAAAACAGAAGAAAGGGAGACTTAAGTTACCGGAGTGATGCACATTCCAGAAAACAGATTCTTACTTTAAGTGAAAGAGCACAAGAAAGGCAGAGACAAGCTTTAGCAATTGTGAAACTGATGTGTGTGGAGTGACATGTTAGGGCTTTATATTCAACCTTTTTGAGCCACATGGGAAACCATGCAAGATGATCAGGATTAGAAAAGATGCAAAGAGTATTATGAAGCTGTGCAAGTCTTGCCACATGCATAAGAAATGTACATAAATATTATTTTGATCTCATCCATATTCTCATTCCCACCATTTCCTTCTGTAACAATCTATAACTCCTTAATGCAGGATCAAGTTTTGTGATTCAGTTTCAGCCAAAAGTGAAGCATGGCATGAGTTCACACTTCAAAAGTTAAACTAGTTACTCCTTTAATAAATGTATGCTAATCTTTCCAGGGTTAACACGCACACACATACACTGATACACACACAAACACATGCAAACATTACAAATATCCATACTCATCCTTTATATTTTGGGGATATGACTGTAGGTTGCAGAACAAGTAGAAGAAAATATTGGTTTGTTGTAACTAGTTTTATAATGTTGAAATGTTTTTGAAATATGATGTGAGCACCTATTCACTCATTATAATTTTCCCCCAAACACCTGCCTGAGTTTGAGGCTGATCTTTTACCCACAGAAGACAGTGGACAACCCCCCTAAATGAGACTGATAAGATTTCAGTTGGGGTTGTCAAAAGTCATCTCAACTTCAGAGTTCCACAGAAGGTAGAGTAGACAAGACCATAAGAGTAAGATATTTATAAGAGAAATAATCCCTCCTGTTTAAGGCACTCCTGATGCGGACATCGATTTGCCTAAACAGGTTCAGAGTAGTAATTCTCAACCAGTGAACCTTAACACTTAGAACAAAATCCCTGGTATCCATCACCAAACCCTTTTTGCCACACTGTCACTTACTGTGGCATATTGAACCCAACGGAGGATTCAAGATGGAGTACAGCATTGAAAATGTGCTGCAGGTAATGAGTGGGACACAGGCATGAGGGTATACATGCCATAAATGGACCGTATGTTTGTCAGGTTAGGCGAGCCATTTATCTTACAAAGATATAAAAGAGTAGAATCAGAGCAGAAAGCAATTCTTTCTAGAAGGGTAGTATGTAAGGGCAACACGCCAACAGTGAGATAACCATGGTTGTTTTCACAGAACTGTGGGATTTTATATGCTCAAGTAGACGTGTGCAACAATTACTGTGGACTTGTTTAGTCCACATGCCTATATCTAAGGTTGTTGTTTGTATTTGTATTTTAACATTCAGCAAAGCAACACTAATACTTGAGAGTGTATGGCAAACACAAAAGTTTGAGACATTTACAGATAGTATAAATGTTGTTAAGTAGGATCATGAAGAATTGAGAGAAAAAAAATTTCATAGTCACTCTACATATCCATATTTTCCCTGTATGTTCAATACAGTCTTTTTATTTCATTCAACCTGGCCAACTGGAAGTGAACAATGTATTTCTAAATAAGAATTTGATTTGAGTTTACTTTTCGTTTGTTTGGTTTATCTTCCACTTCCAAGTCATCTTTTTTCCTTATAAAAATCAAACTAAAATTCCAGTTATGGGTTCAAAAGGCTCTCTCTTCATGAAACCCTGTGGGTTCTCTGATGAGTAAGTAAAAAAGTAAAAGAGCTGCCCCAGCTGCTGTAGCTCAGTGGACTGAGTGCCGGCCTGTGACCCAAAGGGTCACAGGTTTCATTCCCAGTCAGGGCACATGTCTGGGTTGCAGGCCAGGTCCCCAGTAGGGGGCATATGAGAGGCAACCACACATTGATGTTTCTCTCCCTCTTTTTAACTCCCTTCCTCTCTCTCTAAAAATAAATAAATAAAATCTTTTTTTAAAAAGTACAAAAACTTTGAGGAAAGATTGAGAATCCAGACTGGCATTGAGAGATTATGGTTTCCAGTCTTTCAGTCCAGGACACATTGCTCTTCAGTTAAGCTTATTGTTTTAATCTTGTATAATTTTAAGCTCCACCTTTGTTTCTACTTCTTTGAAATCTCACCTGTGATGTTGACTTGTGCTTTTGATTATTTGAAAGAAGGAGTGTTTAAAAATCCATGTTCATTCACTTAAGAATGTGCAGTTCTATGTGTCTTTACTAATTTCCATAATCAGAAAGATTTCTTAGGGGTCTTTAGCAGTGGAACAAAGATGTATGCATCCCTCAGGCCTCATTTGGATATTACAGTGGATCAAAGAGGTACTGATAATGTGTCTGGACAAAATTAAAAATTTTAAAGAAAGAGAATATAGATTATTAAATAACTGATCTTCATTGGATTTGGCAAACTGCTTATCACCCTTTTGAGGTTGTCTAATTTTCATTTCTTACCAAAACTGCTATATAAAAGATATGCTTTCATTCCATTATATTCAAATCAGTGTGACAAATAGAATGAGTTTCTCTCTCCTAATTTGCTTTACTTCATGAACCAGAACAAAATAAGCAATGTCTTTGGATGTCCTTGATTTGAGAGCTCTACTGAATGGCCCATGTGGGAGAGAAGCCATTGGTTCAATCACCCTACTCAGTACAGTCATGAAAACACACTTTTGTACATTATTTGTAAGGGTGTGTTCTACTATTTTTAAAAAGATTTTATTTATTTATTTTTATAGAGAAGGAAGGGAAGGAGAAAGAGAGGGAGAGAAACACTAATATGTGTTTGCATCTCACGCACCCTCATCTGGGAACCTGGTCTGCTTCCCAGGCATGTGCCCTGAGTGGAACTCAAACTGGGGACCCTTTGATTCACAACCTGTGTTCAATCCACTGAACTACACCAACCAGGGTGAATTCTACTATTTTGTAAGGGGTGGTAGAAGAGTTCTTCAATTTCCATAACTAGTCAATTCATAGGCACTTCTATGTGGGAAAAACAAAGAAAGAATATAACATATGTTGTAATTATCCTCTGGACTTATAAAAACTTAGGTGAAATTAATGGAGAGAATATATATTATCAGGAGTCATGTGACCTGGGCTGGTATGTGCATCTCATACTAATTGGATAAGAAACCCTTGTCTAGTTCACTTCCCCTTCTAGGACTCAGTTTTCTTATCTAAAAAATACGAGCAGATAAGAGTATATGAATAAACATTTACATAATATAAAAGAAAATTTTAGCTCTATTGTTCTATGAAAATGCCATCTAAAAAGGTACTTTGAAGACATCTAAATGTCAGAATGATGTAATTATAACTAATAGAGCCATAAATAGATTATTATAACATCTCCACTCACTGGGTAGAACTGTTCTGTTTAATTAAATGAGCAAAGCTAGAGCCTCAGAGAAAGCAAATCTGCCAGTTGAAGGGATGAACACAGGGATCCAACTCAGTTTAGACAACCTGAATTCCAGTACTTCCTAGAATCAAATGGTTGTGATGACAGAGAAGCCACGATGACTCTCATTCCCCATTAACTGCTCTTCATTATTAAAACTATTTTATGTGTAGATTCCCTTACCCCAATATTTTCCTCTCAATTAAACCAAGTGCCAACCATTTAACACATGTTGATTCATGTTCCTCCTTTCCAATAAAACCTTCTACACAAATTCTGAACTTCCTTTAAGTGCAGAAATCATTTTGATGCCTCAGTGAAGATTAATCTTAAAGTAAAAATATGATAAAAATGTAACTTATTACTTTCAATGCTCTCCCGTTTCAGTGATTCACTGAACTGAACTGTCATAATTAAGATGAGATGGATTAAAGTCCCTAACTCATATCCCCACTGTCCACCTCTGCTTTTCCTCAGTGTGTTCTCCACATTACAGCCAGAACATATTTGCACAGCTCTAAATGAGATCAAATCATTACTGCACTTAAAACCTTCTTCTACTGGTTTCCACTTGCATTAAGAACAAAAGTAGAAGTCCTCACCAGGCCCACAAGGCCCTGCATGGCCCATTGCTGGCTGAGCCCTCAGACTGCTTCTCCTACTGCTTTTTCCCCGCTAAGCTCTGTCCAGCTTTTCTGGCTTTTCTCCCTACTCCTTGAAGTTAATTTTCACCTCATGGCCTTTGCACCAGCCATCCCCTCTGCCTGGAATGCTTTTCTCTATTCTTAGGCTACGACTCCTTCCTCATGGAGATCACAGCTTCAAAGAGACTGTTCGAATCACATGATCTAAACTAGACACCTCCTTCCCAGCAGTCCCTCTGTGACAAGTCCTGTTTTATCTTCTTCCTACTAACCATTTCTATCTGAAGTGATATACCTCTTTGAATTAAGATTCATTCTTTTACACTGCTTTTTTAGGGTGAACTAATAACACATAAAGCTTTATGAATACTGAATCCATAAATAAAAAGTGCCCTTTATTTGTTTGTTTGTTTATTATTATTATTCAATTTCAGTTGTCCCCAATTTTTCCATGTGATCTCTCCTGCCCTGTTTCCCGACCCCATTGTCTGTGCCCACAGGTCCTCTATTGAAGTGATATTTCTGTAATCATTTAATCACTCCTTTTTTGTCTCCTCCATTAGAATGTGTGCTTATTGAAAGCGACACCTTTGTTATATTGATCACTGATAATCTCCCTATGCCTAGAATGAAGCCTAGTATATAATAAATACTTTGTAATATCGAACTCAGTGAGTTCACTCTGAGGTGTGGTAACTCATCATACATTATTTTTTAGAGGCTACATTGCCAAGAACAAAAGTAAGAGACAGTTCAAAATATCTGAGGGCAGCTCAAAGTAGGACCTAGGATGTAAAGAGGTGTATGAGAAATTAGAGGTCAAGACAGGAGAAAACAAACTTTATCCTTTTTTTCAATGTGCTTAGTCAAGTGAAATATTTGTCCCAAATATGTTTCCTCTCTATTTCTACTGCACACCAATAATGTGCAGTGAGCTATCCAATGGACAGGAGGACTTAGTAAGTCACCAAAAAGGG